GAGGTACTTCACAAATCAAAAATAGGTTATTCAATTAATTATTTAGTGTCACACACTTATTAAACGTTCAGAATATCCCAAAACATCAAAATCGAGCTTTAATGCTGCCTTTTCCTTGAAAATCATAAAAACTTAACAAACTCGTCTCAGAAAAATATTCGTTTTTGGTTTTGGCATTAAATATTTATGTATTTAAATAGTATCTATTTTTGAAATAGTATCTTGTGTTGTAGCCATTGTTTTTCTTAATAGCTGACAAGCGCATCGGCATTGACTGCACTAATTATCGGCAACTAATTTTGGGTACATATACATACATACATATGTATATTCGAACATTCCTTGAGCTTATTTTTCGCTCTGTGCCAGTGCTGCCAATTTTGATTTTTTTCCCGTCAAAACTGGCTTTTTTTGAAAGCTAACTGCGGGAAAATTTTGTGAATTGCGGGAATTGTGAAAAGCGGGAAATCTGGCTATTTTTAAAAATTCAGTCGGCTTTTTCTTTTGTATTATTAACACTTAAGTATAAAATATGAAAAAGTGGCAGCTTTACGAAGTCACTTACAAACAAACCAGAAAATGTGGTAGAGTATGTGGTTTTCTCGATATACGCAAATGTCATCACTCGCATAGTGATTCCATCTCTATATAAAACGTGCGCGTAAATTCTTAGCTGAAGTTCTAAAATGCCGAAAGAATATAGGCAAAAATGCCGCGATGTCTGGCTTCAAAATGAAGAGTTCAAGGCATGGATTCGCAGGGACGACACAAACCAGCAGAGGGTTTATTGCAACTACTGCAAGACCACTATTACAGCTAAAATTGACCACTTGGGAAGCCAGTGCAAAAAACGGTTCAATGATAGGAATCAATATGTCATACACAAATGAGGAAGACGAAGAAAATATTGATAAAATTATGGAAATCTTAACTTAATAAATTAACTTAACTTAATAAATTGTTATTTTTTGACATTTTTTCCCTTTTTTGATACATTTGTTTTTAGCTTTTTATTGGATTTTTTTTACAATTTTTTTTTAGTTTTTTTCTCCATTCTTCTTGTCAAAAATAGCTTTTTTCTGGTCAAAAGTTGGCAGCACTGCTCTGTGGAGGAGTTGAAATTTGTTGTACATTATGCAACAGCCACATTTTGGCTTCACAAGCCGTGTGCTTGGGGTCATCTTCTTGTTGGAAAATGAATTAGTCGCTGTCCAGATCCATTTTATAAGCCCTACAGCGCACATTTTCTTTAAGTATGTTAAAATCAATTTCAGCATTCATAATTCTATCGATGTACATAAACCAAATTTTCAACTTCTCGAGTTGGCATTCAGGCCCAAACTAAAAAGGAACGTCATTTTGAATTTACTGTGATCTAACATTTTTATTTTTGTCCGACCCTAATATATTAAATATATACATATAAGTACATGTATGTATATGTATATACTGGGTACTGGTAACAAGTTACATACATATATCATTATACCCTTGCAAAGGGTATTCAATTTCAGTCAGAAGTTTGCAACGCACTTAAGGAGACACTTCAGGACTTATAAAGTACATACATATATATACATACATACATATTCATGATCTTAATCGAATTACGTCTATACGTCTGTCCTCCTGTCTGTTTCTAAGCAAACTAGTCTCTCAGTTTTAAAGCTATCTTGCTGAAAATTTCCCAAAAGTTGTGTAAAAAAAACGTTGGAACGGGGCGGATCGGCCGACTATATCGGATAGCTCCCATACGAGAGATTAAAAAAAATGCTCTGTCCGTTGTTTTTGATCGGATAGACTTGATTTCTTCCAGATGCTGTTTTTTTCTCTACTATCCAATTTCGAATTCAATTTTAACAAAATCGGATAACTACATATCATAGCTGCCGTAGGAAAGATCGAAAATTCTATATAGAATTAACGGAAATTATCATCGTTGTTTTTCATCAGACTAACATCATTTTTGGAATACTGCGTTTTTTAATGACTCAAATTTTGAGTTAAATTTCATAAAAATAGAACGTCTATATCATATAGCTGTCATATGAAAAATCGTAAAAAATTCAGAAACTTAATAGAAAAATCGACATATGTATGTACATATGTATGTACACACATATGTGTATGTATGTATGTAGCTTCGATGTTGTTTAGCCTTTATGTGTTTTGTTTACATTTGATGACTGCATGGCTTGCCGAAGCTAGCTTCTTTTCTTGTTATTTCTTAAGAAATATATTTTATTATTTTGTTTTTTTATAATAATCAAGAAAGGAAGTAATGTTCTGAAATAAATGCGGTTGTTTAATAATCTACCCAATATGTATAAATAAGAAAATACATACATATGTAGTTTATTATATTTATACGTATTTTTAATTTAATTTGAAAACATATTTTTTATTTCCTTTCCTTATCGGTTGGGCCATATAAAAATGGCCCAATCCTCTTAAATTTTAAAGTTTGTATGTACATATGTATGTACATATAATACTTAATGCAATAGAATATGTTTGTATGTATGTACACAAGAATGTGCCAATTTCCCTAAGTTATACAATCATACATATGTACATATGTATGTACACACATGTGAACTCCGTATATAAATTTGTTGCTTAAAGTCGCCTTGAATCAGTCATATGAATGTACTTTTTAGCTGGACCAATTTATACCCGTTGAAGACCGGTTTTAAACTTGATAAGTCTTAAGAAATATTTTAATGGGGTGGAAGTTATTTAATTTTGGTTTAGCATTTTATTTGTATAAGTCATTTATGTTATTTATTGATTTTAGACCAGTTAGAAAATTATAATTTTTATGTGTGCATGCGTTAGCATTTTGGTACATACATACATAGGCTATATATGTATGTATGTATATGCTTAGATATTTAAAATGTGTGCATACATGCATACATGTTATAAATATGTACATATACATACATATGTAAACTTATATGTACTTCAATATTTGGCGCAGTTCAAAAATAATTATGTACATATGTAAATGCAATACTTAAAAAATCGCCAATGGAAAATGTGTAGTATTATGTTTTGTACTGCCTTCGTTCTTAATTATACAAACCGCTTTATTTTTTTTATCGGACTTAAGTTGGCATTTAATTGATTAAATGTACATTATCATTTTTTAATTCGTTTTTTAATGTTTCAAAGGTCTTTTACTTTCTCTAATTTTGCTTATTAAAATCTTTTAAATCTAACAAACTTAACATATGTATGTATGTATGTACATATGTAACCGTCTAAAAAATGCCACATTCAAAGGGGGCAATTTGCCCCGGGCCCCGGGCTTATGGGGGCCCCGCGCGATATGATATACATACATATGTATGATATATATGATGCTATGTAAGGATTGACAATCTCCCAAAATTGAATTTTTACCCCGGGCCCCAGACTACCTCTGTGCGCCCCTGATAATTTCAGTCAGAAGTTTGCAACGCAGTGAAGGAGGCACCTCAGACCCCATAAAGCAGTGTTTCCCAAACTTGTCGGGACCGCGACCCATCTACACAAAAAATTGCAAGATCTATATGGCAATTAGTACCCACCAAAAATCTACCCGCGACCCACCAGTGGGTCGCGACCCACACTTAAAGAATTGCTGCCATAAAGTATATACATATGTATATTCTTGATCACGCAGCATCACGAGCAGAGTCGGAATACGTCTGTACGTCTGTCCGTCTGTCCGTTTCCGCGCAAACTAGTCTCTCTGTTTTAAAGTTATTTTGCTGAAACTTCTTTTCCAAAAGATGTGTAGTTATTGCACGCAATATATAAGTCGGAACGGGCCGGATCGGCCGACTACATATATCGGATAGCTCCCATACGAGAGAATGAAATAAAAAATTCTCACCCCGTTGTTTTTGATCAGATCGACTTGAATTCTTCAAGATGGCATTTTCTAACTGTTATTGAATTTCGGATTAAATTTTATCAAAATCGGATAACTCTATCATATAGCTGATATAGGAGAGATCGAAAAATATACATATATAGAATTAATGGAAATAAATTGATAACATCGTTGTTTTTTATCCCACAGACATGATTTTTTGAATATCAAGTTTTTTAATAACCCTTATATTGAGAAAAAAGTTTCATAAAAATCGGACAACGATATCTTATAGCTGCCATAGAAAAGATCGAAAAATCTATATAGAAATAACGGAAATAAAATTATAACATCGTTGGTTTTTATTAGATAAGCATGATTTTTGGAATATAAAGTTTTCTAACGACTCTTGAATTACGAATTAAATTTGATCAAAATCGGACAACTATATCATATAGCTCCCGTAGTCGAAAATATGGAAATAGAAAAATCGTCTTATTTGATGATATTTGATGACTGCAAGGGTATATAAGCTTCGGCTTGCCGAAGCTAGCTTCCTCTCTTGTTTTTAGATAAAAAAGTGTTTTCTTAATTCTAAAAGGTAATACCGTATATTAAAGTAACGTCAATTTGGAGTTGTTTCTTGTTTTTGTTTAATTTTGTTTTTAATTTTAAATAAATTTATTTTGTACTTATCTCTATGAATAGGTAATAAAAAAGCTTTCGTTTTCTATTGAAATTTTTTTTTTTAAGTCTATTTTTTTAATCTTTTCATTTGCATTTGAAATTAGAAAATGAAAAACCGAATATTAATGTGATTCACTGCACATATTTGATTGTTATTGTTCTTCTAATTTTGCTCGCAAAATAAACTGTAAAGGGGAGAACAATAATATTTTTGATATTTTCGAGGATTGATGTGTATTTAGTCTAAAATTTTATTTTATGTATACTAACATAGTTTTAATATTTTAACTACATATATGGCAAAGCAGGAAATAACAAAATAAATATAGGGCAAAGGGGAATTAAATGTAAAGACAGAAAAAAATCTAAAAGATAAGTGATTGTTGTATTTTGCATTTTCGTTATAAAATTGGAGAAAAGCAGCTTTCAACGTAAATCACTATTTCCTTACCTTTTAAACGGTGTTTCTGCTGAGTGCTGGTAACGCGTACTGCCAGAGCTTCAGGAAATGCAGTAAATAAAATTATAACCAGCAGGAAATTATAAGTATGGAGAAATCCCTTGCGCTCCATGGCCTACTGTTAAACCTGAGTTGCACAATTTTATTAAATTCACTGAACTCTTTCACTTTACGAAAGATCGTACAAATTACTAGTATACTTAAAACAGGATGGCCACAAAATACATATGCATTTAGTCTATGTATATGTGTATGTACGATAAGCGACAGATACACCAGCTGAATTGTTTCAGCTATATGAAGTACGCGCAACGCGTTTAAGCACCAAACTGAAGCACTATCTACATACGTAAGACTATATAAAATGTTTAAAACAGAAAAGTCACTGCAAAACGAGCTTACGAACGAGTCAGGGAAAGGAATGGCTATGTGAATCATGACATGGCTCAGAGAGCGCAAGAAATTGCAGCAGCCAACTTGATCACGATCTCAGAGCAAGTTCGCCGAGTTTAGAGCTAGCCCAGCTCACAAAAGTTTAACAAAGCAAAAATAGAAACACAAAATGAAGAAATAAAATAAAACGGGCGTTTTATAAGTTGTTTTAGATAAAACAAGAGCGGTTTAAAGTTCAAACCATTAAAATATGGATCATATAATATTTAATAGCAGCTAAGAGGAATGCCTTTCTGAATAGTTACAGAAGTTCTTAGGTCAGATATAGGCACATTCATACATACATATGTATGTACATTTTCCCTTTACTTTCAGAAAGCGCAGTTTGGTTTACCTGTTTAAACTTTAACATTATTAAATTATTTAACTTTTGAGAACTTATCGACAACTCAGAGTTGGCCAATTCAGCGCACATAAAGTAAAAGCTGCTTTAAGCAATGTTTGCACAAACACGTGGTTACAAACAAGAAAGGAAAGTACATACATACATACATAGCTTCAGAGAGACAAAGCTATTTCTATTTTTTATTTATATTGCAGCTATACGACCCAGTAGTTTGATCTTTTTAAAAGTAGCTTTTTCGAGTAAAAAATGAAAAAAACTATGACATACTACTTTCTTATTATTTTCTAAAATTTCAACAATTGTTTCTGTTACAGCTTTGTGATACAGTCGTCCGATTTTCATGAAATTTATTTCAACATTCAAGAGTTGCTAAAAAACTATTTATTAAAAAAAAGTGCGTGCGTACTAGGTACACATGTCAGAAGTGAAACATCTTTGGCGAACTAATTTATCAGACTTGTCTAGATTTATACAAATCTAAAACTTTAGATTTCCGAGACTTAATAACGGGGAAAAACAAATATATGTATGTTAGGAATTTAATTGTCATTAAAATATTAAAAGTGTTGAAAATCATATAAATTAAAAATTTAATTTTGATACCCTTGCAGAGCAAAGGGTATTATAATTTCAGTCAGAAGTTTGCAACGCAGTGAAGGAGACACCTCAGACCCCATAAAGTATATATATTCTTGATCAGCATCACGAGTAGAATCAGAATACGTCTGTACGTCTGTACGTCTGTCCGTCTGTCCGTCTGTCTGTTTCTATATATACTAGTCTCTCAGTTTTAAAGCTATCCTGATGAAACTTTCCCAAAAGGTGTGTAGTCATTGCACGCAGTATATAAGTCGGAACGGGCCGGATCAGCCGACTATATCGGATAGCTCCCATACGAGAGAATGAAATAAAAAATTCTCACGCCGTTGTTTTTGATCAGATCGACTTGATTTCTTCAATATGGCGTTTTCGAACTGTTATTGAATTTCGGATTAAATTTGATCAAAATCGGATAACTATATCATATAGCTGCCATATGATCTATAGTCGAAAATATGGAAAATGAATAGAAAAATCGTCTTAGCTTCGATGTTGAACCTTTATGCATTTTGTTCCACATATTTGATGACTGCAAGGGTATATAAGCTTCAGCTTGCCGAAGCTAGCTTCCTTTCTTGTTTAAATTTATTTCTTCAATATTTACACTATAAGACGCGATTTCTATAGGTATTGTTTTTCTAACCTTGCAGAGCAATAGGGAATAAGTTTGCAACGCAGTGTAGGAGACACCTCAGACCCCATAAAGTATGTATGTATATATATTCTTGATCAGCAACACGATCAGAATCGAAAAACGCCTGTCCGCCTGTCTGTTTCTAAGCAAACTAGTCTCTCAGTTTTAAAGCTATCTTGCTGAAAATTTCCCAAAAGTTGTGTAGTTATTGTACGTAATATATAAGTCGGAACGGGCCGGATCGGCCGACTATATCGGATAGCTCCCATAAAAGAGATGGAAAAAAAAAATGCTCTGTCCGTTGTTTTTTTAACGGATAGACATGATTTCTTCCAGATGGAGTTTTTTAACCACAATCGAATTTCGGATTCAATTTTATCAAAATCGGATAACTCTATCATATAGCTGCCATAGGAAAGATCGAAAAATATATATAGAAATAATGGCACAACAACAAAGAAGGCAGGCTTCGGCAAGCCGAAGCTTATATACCCTTGCAGTCATCAAATATGTCAATCAAAATGCATAAGGGCTAAACAACATCGAAACTATGCCGATTTTTCTATTAACTCTATTCTAATAACAATATGGAATATAATATTCGACTATTGTTCGTATGGCCGCTATATTATATAGTTGCCCGATTTTTATGAAATTTAATATGCAATTCAAGAGTAGTTAGAAAACTCTATATTCCAAAAATTATGCTTGTCTGATGAAAAACAACGATGTTAAAATTTTATTTCCCGTATTTCTACAGTTCGTTTCATTTGGATAGGACACCTAGCAACTTTTATGGTTAATCGCTCGTAGCGATGACAAAAAAAGGTTAAAAGCTAAAATTTTTTTTTAAGTTATAATCTCTGTTCTATTGTGATTCTAAAATGCAGTTAAATTTTTTCATTATTGCTTTCCCCACTTTTTAATTTAAGTGTTTGCACTGCTGCATGGTTTTTTGCATGCTGAAAATCGTTTCATTTGGATAGGACACTTGTCCTTCCTCTGCAAAATTGTGCCGCGCCTGACGAGGGATAAATCGTGTACAACATTTTACGATCTACTTATTTTCGTGGCGATTTGGCTCACATTAAGGCCTGAGTCCAAATATGCATCAATTTTCCCCCATCCATTTTTCCATCTTTATCCTAAAGGCCTATTTTAGTTTCATTTGATCAATAATAGCATCAGATTGAAAAAAAAAAAACGTTTTAAACAAACTGCGCACTGTACACAAGTGATTACTAACATCTGTCCTATCCAAATGAAACGATTTTCAGCATGCAAAAACCATGCAGCAGTGCAAAAACTCAATTAAAAAAGTGGGGAAAGCAATAATGAAAAAATGTAACTGCAATTTAGAATCACAATATAACAGAGATTATACGAGGTGTGTTCAAAAAGTATCGCGAATTTTGTGTTTTTTTTTTATTTATTTATGAATATCTATTTTGTCCCCTTCAAAGTAATCCCCATGAGATATGCGCTTGTGCCAACGGTTTTTCCAATCTTTGAAGCACTTCAAAAAATCATTTTTTTTATCTTATTCATCTCCCTCTTCGATGCCGTCTTTATCTCGTCAAGAGTAGCGTAACGTCGTCCTTTCAGGGGCCTCTTCAGTTTAGGAAACAAGAAAAAGTCACAGGTGGCCAGATCTGGGGAATACGATGGCTGCGGCATCATTAATGTGTTGTTTTTGGCCAAAAAGTCGCGCACAAGCAACGATGTGTGAGCAGGGGCGTTATCGTGGTGCAAAAGCCAATTTTTGTTCTTCCACAAATCCGGGCGTTTCTGGCGGATTGCTTCGCGCAAATTGCGCATAACATGCAGGTAATATTCCTTATTGACCTTTTTCCCTGTGGCAAGAACTCATGATGCACCACGCCGCTGCAATCGAAGAAAGCTGTCAGCAAAACATTCATATTTGACCGAACTTGAAGTGCTCGGGCGTCGGGCACGCTCTTCGTCGTTCACATCTTCTCGGCCTTCTGAGAACATTTTGTACCACCGATAAACGTTGCTTTGGTCCAAGGTAGCTTCTCCGTATGCCACAGTCAACATTCTGAATGCATCCACGCACTTAATTTCGTTTTTCACACAAAATTTAATACAGGTTTTTTGATCTATTTTTTTGAATAGGTAAAAATCGAACACGATCCAAAACACGTGTAAGCAAAGCAGCTTTCAACAATTAAGTGAACATTCAAAATGGCTGAGCTTGTCGGCATAAGTGAGAGACATGAGTACCAACATAACGCCACAAAAAAAATCGAAATTCGATACGAGGTTACCCGCGAAAATTTAAAATTTGGGATACTTTTTGAACACACCTCGTAACTTAAAAAAAAATTTAAGCTTTCAACGATTTTTGTCTTCGCTACGAACGATTAACCATAAAAGTTGCTAGGTGTCCTATCCAAATAAACCGAACAGTATATAGATTTTTCGATCTTTCCTATGGCCGCTATTATTTTAACCTTATTTTAAGGTTGTCGCATTTTAATGAAATTTTGTTCTCGATTCAAAAGTTATTAAAAAACTCCATGTTTTGTAAATCATGCTCGTGGGATTAAAAACAACGACGTTATAATTTTTATACCCTTGCAGAGCAAAAGGGTGTTATAATTTCAGTCAGAAGTTTGCAACGCAGTGAAGGAGACACCTCAGACCCCATAAAGTATGTATGCATATTCTTGATCAGCATCACGATCTGAATTGAAATACGTCTGTCCGTCCGTCTGTATGTTCGTCTGTCCGTTTCTCTTTAAACTAGTCTCTTAGTTTTGAAGCTATCTGGCTAAAACTTTCCCAAAAGTTGTGTAGTTATTGCACGCAGTATATAAGTCGGAACGGGCCGGATCGTCCGACTATATCGGATAGGTCCCATACAAGAGAATGAAATAAAAATGGTTAAGAATTATGGTGCCAATCAAAAATAGTTAATGCATACTTAAGCTGTAATAAGCTAATACATCAATTAAACCGTTAATATCTGTATGCAACCTGTTCAATTAGAATTTCTTTTGACACTCACACCTCTCACCCTTTTTTCTACTGCTGTAAATGAATTCGTTTTGGAACAGAAATGATTTCGGCTTAAAAATCGTCTTCTCGCTCAAGTAAGCATACATATGATACTTGCACTACTTGCACTTGCTTGTTCTTACACACGGACTCTATTTTTAGATTTTTACGCTCTCAACTTTGTGCGAGCGTGCTGACAGGGAGAGAGAATAGAAGAGGATAGAGAGATCGTTCGTCAGCGGTTAGAGAGGGATTGGGATCCTCGCTCCGTCCCCGAAAATCTATAAC